TGTGTGTGTGTGTGTGTGTGTGTGTGTGTGTGTGTGTGTGTGTGTGTATGTGTGTGTGTGTGTGTCTCAAACTGCAGCAAGAGAAAGCTGAGATGAAGCGTGAGCTGTGGAGGATCGAGGACGTGATGGGGGGACTGTGTGCCAGCAAATCCAACTACAAGATCACCATTGACTCGGTCCAGAACCCAGGTCGGTAACCGCTGCACAGCAGCCGTTGTTATCGGCTGTTGTTATCACCGGCTTTTTAGGATTAGGAATTTTTTTTAGGAAAAAATGTGGAAAGAGAGTTTCCACGATGAAATACAGGTCGTCCCCAGTTAACAATTACCACACTGATACGTTCAGTGAATATATGGTCTACTACAGATTCTCAAGATATTTAGCATTGTCAACATATTATGAAGTTTTTAGTTGTTGTAGGTAATGCATTCCCTGTACTCTAACAAGCCTTATCACAGTTAAGTTTAGAGTGAAAACTGTGATTGTGTAGTTTGATGCTACGTTCACTGAAGTCTGTGTCTCCTCTTCTCAGAGTAACTGTGATCATAAATTCCCCCCCTCTTTTCTGCTTACATTTAAAAGCCAAACCTTGATTTCTCTGTGTGTTCACGCCCTCTCACCAGAGAGGAAACTAGTGCCTTCGGTGTCGGACCCGGCCGTGCCTTCCTTCAGCACAGAGGTCCAGCCGCCGCCTCGCAGCTCCATCCCCAGCGTCCTCTCCCACACTTTGCCTCACAGAACCGTGCCAAAGTGGGTGAGTGTCCCCCTTCTGCCGATCGCTTCATATTCAGGGATTAATTGCTAGATTTTTGTCGGATTGAGTTCAATACAGCAGCGCTTCTAAAATACTGAATCCTTTCCTGCCTCGCCGTCCAGGCGGAGGACACTGCCCCCCCGAGGCCACCGCTGCCTCGCCTCTACGACTACGAGGACACGCCGCCTGTGGTGCCGCCTCTCCCCAAAGAGGCCTCGGTCATCCGCCACACGTCGGTGCGTGGGCTGAAACGCCAGTCGGACGAGAGGAAGCGGGATAGGGAGAGCGGGCAGTATGTTGCCAATGGAGACTGTAAGGTATTCTCACCTTTGTAGGAATGAAGCCTTGTAAAAGTAGTTTGGGGGGATTTTAATGTGAAATTGAGACATTACGTTCTACAAATTGTTGTATTTTTCTGTCTAACCTTTTCTGGTTCCAGGCGGACTTGCGGTCATACGTGAGTGAACCAGAGCTGCCAGGTCTGAGCCACCAGAGCGCCGCGTCTGACCCTGACTACCAGTATTTCCAGGACAAAGGTATCTGAACAGTGACGTGTAAAAAAAACACACATTTAACAGACTTTATGAGACAGTTTTTCATGGCTAGCGATAGAATGCAATCATCCTATCTTAGTGCATTTTGAACGGTGTGCAGTAGATCAACGAGGTTATTTTAAATTTGAATATTTGTTACTGGAAACAAACTTGGTTTTGTTGTCAAGTATGAGAAAAATTTAACTTGTATAGGCAAGTGTATTTGTGTTCATTGGAATGTTCTCTTCAGAGTAGAACATTCATCACTTAAAACATGGAAGATGTGGTGCTTATCGTACTCATAAATGATCCCCAGGTAATGGAATTTACTGTCACCCGGAAGAGGAGCGTAATGTTTCAAAGAGACAGTCGTCATTTGGAATGTTATTAAAATTCTTCTACGTCCTGAGACAAAATTTTTATAAAATAAAAAAAATCTAATTTTGTAAATATTTTTGCTGTTCAGCAATTAAGTTGAGGAATTTATTCAACCAGTGTCGATACAAAATGTGTTTTTTTGTTTCACCTTAAGTTAATTCTATTTTTAATATTTGTGCAGTCTGTCACTGTGATGTCATTGTCTGACCTTTTGTCACAGATGAAACTAGACTATGCTGGTCCTCGTCTTGTTTTCATCTACTAGGTCTGTCCAGCTGCTCATTTCGACTGAACCAGTCCAACTCCATCGCGTCCTACGTCACCCTGAGGAGAGGCCCAGGCAGCTCCGCAGCCAGGGTGAGTCCAGATAACGACAGCTGCAGATACCTGACGATCAGCTGGAGAGATCCACGCTCTCTCGTGTTTGTACACGCCTGCTTTTCTTTGAGATTCTGTGTTGATCATGTGTTTAATGGCAAGTTTAGGGTTTCAAATTTGAGGCTGAATGATTCTAAATAACACACGGCCCTGAGGAGGAAACTTCCTCACGTGTGCAAGTGTTGTAACCAATGCCTTTATCATACCCTTAAGCTTTGCTGTATAGCATGAGATTATTAGATACCGTATGTTCACGAGCCATCTATTCATTCTAATATATGTATTACAGACATTAGGTATGGATAACTAACGTACTGCAATAGGTGCATCTCTAGTTTTTATATATAAATATGCAGTTCTAATACGAATAAGGACAGGACAGGATTATTTTGTGGGATTTCATGGGATTGGGACGGAAGTTTTTTTTACAGGAGTGGGATGGAATTCTCTTTTCTTACTTTCTGTCCACTTTGCATCTTGCTCTGTTCTTAACTTTGTCCCCGCACTGACCATCCGTCCCCTCTCTCATCTCCACCCTTGCCTTTTTCCTCCCCGTCTCACCAGGAGAGACCCAAGAGTGCCTTGGAGCGTCTGTCGTCGCCCACAGAAGCCCCGCAGCTCCCGAGCGGCCAGCCGCGGGGGCGAATGACCGCGGAGGAGCAGCTGGAGCGGATGAAGCGCCACCAGAGGGCGCTGGTTCGCGAGCGCAAGAGGAACCTCAGCCAGGGCGAGCGCTCCTGCGCGGGCCTCTCGGCCTCCTCCACCGCCGGCACCCAGCGCTCCTCCTCCTCCTCCAGGCTGCCCTCCAGCACCTCCGACCCTCCGGCCTCCGTACGTTACCCCCTGCCCCCGCGTAGCAGCAGCAGACACAGGGAGCACCACCACTGCTGCTATGCCACCCTTCAGCCCCCGGCCACATAATAACCTAACAGGAATGCTAACACACTAGCACTCTCTGCCTTGTGTGTTGTGGGTTGACGTGAGCACTAACATGCTAAAGGGCAGGACTGAACTTGGTTAACGCTTTAAGAACAATGGGAGACCAAATGGGCACAGGGTAGTGAGGGGAATACTTGGCTAGTTGTGGACTGGGGCAGTCACTCCCTGTTGATTTCATTTTTTAAGGTCCGACCTCGTTGCCACTGCCCCCTGGTGGGACCTCACTGACACACTTCTGAATGTAAACGCACCGAGAAAACGAGACGGAAGGCATCGCCCTGCGGTCCTTTCTCTGTTTTTATCACCAGGCAGTAGAGAGAAGAGCCCATTTATGTACATCTACACCACCGTGTACTTGTACACCTTTTATTTATTTACTGAGGGATATTTTCAGTATACAGTTGTACAGTTATATTTTGTAGAGATTTGGTATATAGAGCACATAGAGGAGTGGGGGGGGGGGGGATGTTTGAAGTATGTTTGAAAAAGAAGTATTCAGGTTGATGGACTATGAAGAAAAGAGGCACCGCTAGTGGCACAAATCATGATCACACCTCCCTGCTTTCTTTCCTTCTAATGAAATCCAAGTGCCTTGTTTTTGCTGATGATCTTTTTTGCCTTTGTCCCAGATTTACCTCCTTAAGTCAACGTTTTAATTAATGGTGGTTTGTTTGAAGCACGCGTCTCCTCTTCGGAGTCGTAGAAACGATGCAAGAGCTGGCTGTAAGGTGGCTTCTCTGTGCGGCAGGAGAGACGCTGCTGCTTTTAACCCCTCGAGGAATACTTTGACATTCAGACTAAATCTAGTCTACCCTTTGGTTTCAGTATGGAATGCTAACAATGCTAACATGCCTGGGTGAAGAAGATGATTCAGAAAGTAACTCAAAATGTCAAAGTCTTCCATTAAGATAACATGACGCATAATAACCAGAATGGTTTTATGATTACAGACTAACACACACCAGACTGCTGTGAGATCTGTTTGTAATCGGACTACATTGTCCCTTAAATCCTTGAATTTTAAATGTCCCCGTAACAGTGAGCAATACATCTGTGATCCTCATCTCTTTCCACTGCACATAACCATAAAGCATATTTTATTTTCTCTACTCCACCAGCATTACACATGTTTACACCATTTTATATTTGAATTAGCAAAACTCATTAATTCAGCCTTTCCCTGTGCAGATTGAAATGTTATTTTCTATGGTTTGACAGTGGTTGATAATAACTTTGCCACAATTAGAGTTGGGGGAAAAAGAATCTGTACTCGTATCTGAGTACTTTTCAGTGGCCTATGCTGTGCTGTTTTATGCATCATAAATATACAGGACAGGTTCATGCTACAGGGCTGAAATGCAATAATAATAAGATAAGAATAGTTATGAACAAGGAGCGGACAACGTTGTCATCGGAAATACATGTGGAAAGTGAGACGGCACTGTACGGTGGCCAGATTTGTCAATTTGTGTTAAACAGATTCAAGCTCACTTTTTAATCGATAACGCAACTTCCCAAATACTGAGGTGATGATTGATCCTCATTCTGTTCTGTTGTTTATGCAGTGAGTAGAATATGAAGGCAGGGCTCGTCACTTTACTCCATCATAGAAGAAGAGTCCCTTAAAGAACACGGTTGGGAACCACAGAGCCCAGAGGTTCTCCGAGGTTCTCCGAGGTTCTCCGTGGCGCTGCTGTCCGCTCCTCGTTGTTCTGACGAGTATTAATCCAGAGCTTTTCTGCCACATTGCTTTTTGTCCTTCCACAGCTGCGTACGATATATCAGATCAAAGAACAATAGTTCCAGGAGGTTTGCTACAGTAGAGAACTTAGAGAAGTGAACCGCTAATCGCCACCTAATTCTGTGTCATTGAGAAGCAACGCACAACTCTTCCCTCTTCTTTTCTATCATGTAGAGATTTGCACTCGACAATAAAGAGTTCCTTGCTTCTGAACCTCCTCTTGGCTGTGTTCTTCCTGATCTGTCCCGGGGTTTGATGAATCTGTGTCCGCATGGGTTTCCCTTCTCTCTATCTCTTCCTCGTGTGTGTGAGATTGATTCTCCTCGAGCGCAACGAGGCGTGGGATTCTCAGAGCATGTTGAACACGCAGCAGATCACACCGTGCTGCAGGCTACTGGAGGGGGAAGGATGCATGCATGGCTTTTGACGCTCCTTGGATGATTACTCACAAGTACCCCTTCACAACACACACACACACACACACACACACGTATATCAGAGAATAAGAGTCGAGAGTATTTTTCCAGATGCAGAAGCGCTGGCGTACACGGGAGAGAAGCATGTGTATCATCACAGCTTCCAGAGACAGACTAATCATCTGCCCGAGTCTTTTCTGGGGTGACGATACTAAACCAGATTCTGGTTGCACAGGAATGTTACATTCATGCCTATATGTGTGGTTCTACCTGAGGCACGACTCACTGCAGAAGCACTTGCTGTTTATACTGTATGTTGTAGAAGTTACCCAGGGAGACGAGAGTTTAGTTTGTTAACTGGATCCCCATTGGCTGACGCCTTAGCGGCCGCTAATCTTCCTGGTGTCCACAGAAAGGACGAAACGTAATACATGCAAAACGTGCAAAACGTGCAAAACATGACGTGAAACAACAGTAGACTGTTGCCAATGCTAGTCTTCACATTGCCCCATGAACTCCGCTGCTTTCAGTCACAAAGACCTTATCGCTGTCCTCTGCTCTTCCTGCCACCGCTCCACGTGGGTCGGTCTTTTCTTTCACTTTATTGAATTATATAAACATGCTGAATTATAAAAACACTTTTCTTTACTGATCTGTAAAAGTACTCGGGCTGCAACTACGGTGATTATTTTCATTGTGTTTACCTGCCGGTTATTTCCTCAATTCATCCTTTGCTCTGAAAATGATCTGCTCTTTTTTCAAATTGCTTGTATTTTAGTCCAACAAGCAAAGCAGCAAATATTCAAATTTGAAAATTAATTATCAAAATGCTTGCAAATTTATTTAATATGATTTGAATAACTGATTAATCAACTAATAGTTTACGCTGAAAAAAACATCCATTGTGCAAAATGTAAAAGGCTTTAGCTCCTTATTTCTAGATCTTATGTTGACACGTACTGTATGTACAATATTATAGACACTGGTATTATTCATAGAAAATCTGTTGCAATAATATCAAAAGGCTCAAAATCTATTTTTCAAATAATATTATTATTATATATATTATTATAACATCCAGGACCTTTTAAACACATGTTCAGACAAACAGAGGTTTTGTTCTTGATTTATACTTTACTTAAAGGGCCAGTGTGTAACATTTAGGGGGATCTTTAGGCAGAAATATCGCCTGAAACTAAAAAAATCCTTGTCACCTTAGAATGAGCCATTTATATCGACATACTAGAGTGAGTAACACTGGCACTCATACACGCTTGGCACACAGGAGAAGTTTCATTTGGTTCCAATCTGCAACCTCACCTCTAGATGCCTCCAAATCCTACACACTGGCCCTTAAAAGACTTAAACGACAGCAGCAAATCTATTTCTACGTGTAATCCCGACTCCTGCCGTTTCCAGGTGTTTGATTGGCAGGAGGAGCGACTCGCTGCCGAGGGTCAGAGCGATGAAGGGTGGAATCGAGGGAAAGAGAGAGGAAGGATCCAGTCGGATGAGTGGATAGTGGCGACGGCCACACGCATACGAGAGGTGGATGTGGAGCCTCTCGACTACGACCTGGATATCAGCCGGGAGGTAAACACACACCAGTCATGACAAACACAAGAGGCAGGACACAAAACGATGCTAATCCTCTAACTAACAGCTCCACTGTTCTGGTTGCTTTGGTTGAATCTGCACTTTAAAGTTAGCATCTGTTAATCTTGGACACCTTCCGTGATCTTTCATAACATACAGGTGTAAGAGTTATTCTCTCTACTTCCATACCTGTTTGTCAGAAAGTGTGACTATACAAAGAATGCAAATACAATGTAGCCACTCCTTTTATGAAATTGGCTGACCAATTTATAGTACATGTTATCTGTTCCATCTGTTTCAGTACATGTAAGGGAATAGTCTGACTGAAGGGGGACACTTTGACCCTCAAACTCTGTCTGTTTGACAAGACTTGTACATTATAAAAAAACAGGAATTTGCCTTCAACTTTTTGAACGGGCTTCCTTTGACTTTAGTAAATCCAATGTGTGGTATACCCAAAACCTTTTGTTCATTTTTTGCTATAAAAACATCCACATTTCATTGCATGGAAGTTTATAAAGTTTAGTCAAATCCAATTAAAACCAGTTAAAAAGTTAGAGAAACAAGTTAATTTATTGTGAAGGGATCAGTTTGACATCACTTCCTTCCTCTTAAATTCACGCTTGATGTTTTCAAAGCTTCTCTTTATTAACGCAGCAATAAAACCCGAGAGGGAATTCTTTCCTGTCATTAAGGAAAAGGTCTCACGTGATGACGTAATACCTGTTATGTTCCTCTGAATACAAATGGACAACCTGCAGGGAACCGTCCATGGCTGTTCTTAAATTATGGGACTAAAAGACTGACTGTCTGTCCAACATGCAGCTGTCCAGACCGCAGAAAGTTCCCATCCCAGAGCGCTACGTAGAGTCTGACCCCGATGAGCCTCTGAGTCCAGAGGAGCTGGAGGAGCGCTCCCGCCGGGCCGAGCGCATCAAGAACCTCTTGGCCAAATCCAGGTACTCAAACGATGACTCAGCAGTTGATACAGTTTGTTTTTAGTGTTTTACTTCAACACTGGGGCCGCGTTAGTATGCAAAGGCTTTGGAGGTAAATATTCTGTGTTTCTTAAGCTTCTTAAGCACTGATATACATAAAGTGAGTTCAGAAGTTCCACTGCATTCCTGGTTTGGTGTGTGTGTCCTGTCAATAGCTTCCAGAACATACAGCCGTCTGCACCGCTGGACTTCAGCGAGCTGGACTCGGCTCTGCAGCAGCAGGAGAGGATCATGAACGTGTCCCACGCACTGGCCTCCGAGGCCTCGCGCAAGAGCAAACTGGTGGCAGGTTAGTGGACTCGCACCTTCATTGACATGAAGCATCACCGAACACTTAAAAGCATCAACCATCACAGCTACAGCTTCCTGTAAACCCCTATACTTACATTTGAATCAGTCCAACCTTTATCCTAAAAGCAACTCAGCCCTCAGTAAATGGTGATGACCAACCAGAATGTCCTCACTTTGTAGAAGCTCAAACCCGTTATCAGCGTGTTATCTCAGACAGGCGGCGTGTGATTTGTCCCTGGTGTGCAGGGACTGAGTGGCTGGAGAGTCGGTGAGCGTGTCTGCTCCAGGTACCTGTTCTGTATCTCAGTATATTCGGTTTGGGTTCGGTCAGGAATGTGCACAGATTGGTGACAAACGGGACTCAAACCCATAAAAAAAAAAAAAAAAAAGTATTTTAAAATCTGCTGCTGATGTATATGATGCGTTATAATTTGTGTTGTTCCGAGTGAACCTAACTTTGTTTAATTAGTGCGTTCATGAGCTCATTTTCGTCTGTAGATCAGATATTTTTTGATCACATTCGTCCATAAGTTCAGTTTGGAACAGGAAAAGTAAATTAACCTGTAAGAATAACAAAACAAAATCTAATGACCTTCTCTACTTGAAAATAACATATTTTGCCTTTGATTGAATATTTAGTGGTTTGGTTTTGTAAGTTCTTGTCCATTGGTCCCTGAGACAGATCTGTGTGCAGTCCTGGTTCCTTTGTTGGGCTTGTTTTGGTCAGTGTGTGGCTCAGGTGTCCTAAAGAGCTGCTTTGGTGAAATGCAGTGGCCTTCGATGTGCAAGTGGTGTTTTGGGGCGAGTTGTGTGTTTTCTATGCAAATACAAAACATGAACATTGATTGAACTCTTGCACACTACTCGTGCCCCGTGGTTTGTGCAGCTCCTGTATTCCTCAGGAAGCCACAAAGCACTTTACATTACACGGCTCCAACACTTGTAGTGGATGACTTATTGTTTTACTGGTACTTTGAAATACACATATTTGCACGTAATATTTAAGCCACGGCTCCTCTCTACAGAATGAACAACATAATACAACACAGGCAATACATATGACAGAAATGATGCACAGCATGAAGGCAGTAGCAGCACAAATAACCGCAGTTTTGTGTGTGTTTGATTTGCCAAACTACACAAATCTACAAGAGACATTTCCTCCTGGGAGCCGTTTGTCCTACTGAAATCTACTGAAACTAATTAAAGTCACAAATGCAAATAAAATGTTTTTATTATTTGTTTTATTGAAGAATGTAAACAAACAGACATTCAACACAATTCCACTGGGATTAAATGTGTGTTTAATTTAATGTAATGACAGTCAGTTAAAATAATACTAATGTCTTCACTGTGTTTGTTTCCTCCTCAGCCAAAGCTGCTGCAGAGCACTGAGCCACAGGAACGACCGACACAACCAGGCAGAAGAAAAGGGAACTAATCATTGTACTAACTGTTTGACTTGTAACACATCTATGTATGAGTGAGCACAATAGAATCAATTCTTGCTAAAGCGCAATAATAATTTATAACACGAGTGAACTGCTTTTTTTTAAATCTGCAATTAGCTGTTTTGTAGTTTTTATGAGTGATAAGAAAGCCAATGCCAAAATGCTCCAACTACAGTAGGAATGCTTTGACATGAATCTGTTATTTATTACATTGTTTGGCTTATTCAACTTCTACTGTACATTTTCTAAATAACAATGATCATGGTCCTATCAATCAACTAAAATGCATTAGAATATAATATGAATTAAAACAAGTTAATTATTTGGTGTCATTTCCCTGATGGTCAATTATTAAAATATAATACATGTTTGTCAGTTACACTCAAAACATTTGTCATCGGCTGAATAGATTAGATAATAACAGAAGAATATACATTTGGGGCGCGTTCACACCAGCCTTGCTTGTCCGGTTAAATGGACCCCGGAGCGTTTACCTCCTTGTTGCTGTTACTGTGGGTTGGTGTGAACGCCAGACCAATCGGCTCTCCGGTCCCCCGCGAAGGGGTCTCAGCCCGCTATCAAGTGAACTCTGGAGTGGTTCACTACTCATGTGACACCATGTGAACCAATCAAAGGACGCGCACCATTTATATGTCTTTTCTGTTGTTTAGAAAAACGCTTGCTTTCCTATTGTGGTGACGGAAGCTTATTTGCACATTTACTTCTACTGAATTTGATGAATTTACTGTTTATCAGACAAATAATTGGGCAATAATTCGCTACCCCCGCCCCAAGGAGAGCCCTTCGCCGATAGAAGAGCGGTCAGCAGCCCACTGTTTGGCTCACCAGTGTAGCATAAAAGCATGGTGGTATTAGCAAGCTAGCTAGCTAACGTGACAACGGCTACATTTGTATAATTAAACAACTTTTCTTCATCCACACAATCTTTGCACGCATTGAGTCGTATGAGGAGCCAAATGTATGATCAATCTCTTTTTTTGGTGCAATTTCTGGACCATTGAGTTGTGCCTTTTGTGAATGCAAACCGTACCAATTGGACAATTTAAACATGTAGGCCATCATCCTTGCATTGGTTAGATTCAGGAACCGGACCTTTGGGTGAGAACCAGGCCACAGAAGAGTGCCTTTGAAGCAGATTTTACGGAGTGGACAAACGCAATTAAGATTTCTGGGTCCGTCATGTGATGCCAATATGTACAAAACTACTTTTTCATAGGAGTGAACGCTGCATCCAGTTCTCTTTAAATACATCCATGGCGTGAACCGGTCCTTACTGTCACCCAGGAAGAGCTCTGCTAGAAAACTAACTTGATAGAGACACTCAGTTGATGAAGATGAAAGCATCCCTTCATTTTCCCCATGATGTTTGCATTAATAGCATTGTTTTCAGCCTTGATTTATTCTATGCACATGCTTTATGAACATATACATTGAATATTTAAGGGTATTCTGGCTGGCACAGAATTAGTGAGGAATCTGCATACCCCAGCCTTAAGCCTGGATACAGTGGCTCAGAGAATTCAGTGTGGAACGTATGCAGGTGCGTCATGGAGTTTGGCGATACGGCGTAGTAGAAGGTCGGAGTGCCAGCTGACCAGTCCAAGAACACCCCAACCCTTTTGGAGAAAAGTAGGGGACGGATATGTATGTATTATCCTTATTGTACCAGAAACACTCCATCAGAATGTCCTGGTTCTCTCTGAGTGACACCTTGAGGTGGTCTGCTATTAACCTGTTGTGAAATGATTGTGTAACTATGCATCATTTCCCCTTAAAATCAAATCTGAAATTGGACAAATTGTGGGAAAATCATCCTCACATCGAGATGCTGCCTCCACCAGGCTTCACCGTTGGGGTGGTATTGTGCCGGTTAAACGCCTGGTTTCCTACAAAACATTACACGTGTCTTTCACTGAGGAGAGGCTTCCGTCTGGCCACTAAAGCCCAGATTGATGGAGTATTGCATTGTTGGTCCTCCTTCTAGAAGTTTCTCCACACATGTTCTCTGGAGCTCATCCAGTGTGACCATCAGGTTCTTTGTCACCTCTTTTACCACGAAGGCTCTTCTCCTCCCATTGCTCTAGGAAGAGTCCTGGTTGTACCAAACTTCTTCCATTTAAGAATTATTTTGGCCTTTGTGCTCTGAATGCATCAGAATCGACTCCAGATCTGTGCCTCGTCACAATCCTGTCTCTGAACTCTGCAGGCAGGCGGTTGGTTCTTAACTGAAGGCTGCAAAGCAACTAAATGGGGAAAAAAAAGAGAGAAGGTGGCCGAATATCTTCTGGATATAAAGGCAAGGCAAATAGCCGCTGGACTGATAATCTTCCATTAGCGTAAAATATGTGCCGTTTCCACGTAAAGAAATCCCACAAGAACTTTTCGGACAGTTTGCATTTCACCCCAGGAGACGAAATGAACTGTTCCCTCTAGAGAGAATTACTTAAGTCTCAGTGACGAGGGACGGGTTAAATAGATGGTCTAGCACCTATTACCAGTATTAATGCTGACTTTAGACCCTGTTTAGGTAAAGGTGTCCACTTTATGTATCCTCAAGGATTCACAATGCAGAAACATTCTTACATAGAAACCCCCTCCATTGTCTGAAGGCACATGTAGTTAAAGTGTTAAGAACAGCAGATTGTATACAGACACTTCCTTTTATTGGTTTTCAAACAAGAATTCACAGAATGTACAATGTGTATACCAATCATGCTGAATGGCAAGCAATCCCGTTTCATCCAACATCATTTGTGGCAAATGCAGTGACTGTTAAAATGTTCAAACTAAATAAAAATGGGACTATTTGCCATCTTAGTTTCATAGACCACCACTCAACCAAAAGCTGACTTCTTTAGCCGGCAGACTTAATTCTTTGACCACGTGCACTCCAGGATGTCGGCCAGTCATGACGAGTGCTTGTGCAGAGAACCCGTTTCTACGCAGTAAGAAGGACTGAAAGATGGGCGGTCGCCTACAGTCAAACAAATAACGTCAAAATGTACAAATTTGAGATTACAAAAACTAGTTCCTCCCCGCGAGCCCCCGCAGCCCTACGCCGACTTCACAACGGCCATTTTGTCGTTGTGTTTCTGTTCTTCATCGCTACTGTCTGAGCTGGACCCGGCCTGGTCTGAGGTCTGTTTCTCTGAGTCGGGGTCGCTGCCTTCGTCCTGGGCACCTGAGGGTTCATCTTCACTGGTGGACTTCTCTGGCTCTGCGTCTTTTAACTGACCGTCCACTGGTGGGGAGGGCAACGACTCTCGCTCTGGGGAGGGCTGTGAGTAAGACAACAAAAATATATTGTTATTTTTTTACTTCCCTCATTCTGACAACAGGATATCTTGAAAACGTAGCGCGTAAACGAACGTCCCTGGGTTGTGGTGAATGTGTTAGCCTCGGGCTAAAGAACAACACATTACGTGTTGGTGGTGATCCTGACAGACTTCACTGTGAATTTAAATAAAGAGAAACGTCACGACACCGTGGGAAATTGCTTGGTGTTGAAAGTTTTGCTTCTTTGTTTGAGTACTTCTTGCTAAAGACACAGTGTCCGTGTGCTTTCTGCCAGCCACACCCTGCTCTGCGTAATACTTCTGCTAAATCCATCATTCCGGTTACTGTTTTGTACCATTTGAACTTTCTTGACCTCTCAGCTTATCCAGAAATGTTCTGCTGAGATGGAGAAGCAGCACATCAATGTGAGACTTGCCCGAACTTTTGCATCCTAAACTATCTCCTACTTTGTATCTCTTAAAATGCTTCTGCTGTCTTTGTATATAAATTATACTCGATATATTAACTTCCCCGTCTTTAAAGTATTTATTGAAATTGATTTATAGTAATGCAATATAGCAACAGCTAAAAATATGAGTTTTCCTGTGAAAAGTAAGAGAGTTAGTTTCCAATCATTTAAAATAAAATAAAAACATTCAGCACAATATTTCTGATCATGTAAAAGAAAAGGAAGCTGCTGTAGGTCAAGAGTTGCTAGTGACTGCAAAATCAACATATAGTGTGTATTAAACTACAAGTCAATACAGTCAAACACTTTTCTGATGTGTGGATGGACGTTGTTTCACTAGAAAACTACAACAAAAGCAAGTCTGTTAAGTAATCAACACTCAGCAGTCTGAGTCTCTCTGTGCTAAATCCATTAAAAGGTTGTTTGTTTATGTCTGGCGAGATAAATGAAAGATCTGACCCCCTCACCTCACTGAAACCCAGGCCACAGTGTCTCCTGTTCCGGCCCGACAGCTTCCCATCCATGCTCTGCTGGTACTGCATCTCTAGCTGCTCGTTCATCTTCTTATCTTCGTTCCCTGCAGAGGAGACACCAGTCACAGCAGGCACACCCAGCCATTACAGGCCTATCCATGCATGGATAGATCTGTGCGGCGGATGTGTAGTGGGGAAGCCGGGTTAATCGCATTGGGCATAAGTATGAGGCAGCAAAGGGACAGTAGTTTGGACATTAGCAGAACAAATACGGCATTTGACAAAAGCTACATAAAGAAGCCTACCACTGCGGAACTGGGACGTCGACTTGTGGTCGCCAATGACGAGGCGTCCTGTGGGTTCTTTCTGGAAAACAGAAAAAAAAAATACCATTTAAATCAAATATAAACGTCTCTTTATCTTTTTGTGCAATGGACTACGGGCCCACAATAAACCAAACTGAACGTATAGTGATCTGAAGTACACAAAACAAACCTTGCCAGCGCCCATCAAACGTAAAAACTTCTGCTTCCTCTCGTTGCTTCCCAGATCCGCTGCTGCCCACTGGGTAGACCCATCCTGCCAAGACAAAAACATTGTCATTTTGACTTTGACTCACACGCTGAACAAGACCAGACCTCCATCAAACACCAGATCATTTACACAATGGATGTTTTTACAAAGCACTAGAGGTTGTTTCCAACCAGCACGGCCGGTCGTCCCTTTACCCTCCGAAGACTCACAACACGATCAAATGAGACCAGAGGGATCAATGAGTCCATTGGAGGTACGTTTGATGTTGTTCATTCCAGAATTCTCTTTTGGGATGATGTTGCCTTTTGTATGAGTAAGTATAGATGAGTCAATATTGACATGGAATAGAAATCAGAATACTTAAATCATAAGATGATCTCCCACACACACACACGTGGAACTGTCAAATATATAAAGTGAGAACATATGACCACATTATGCGATCCATTGGAGTTATGTCCTCTGTGTTCTGAGAGAGGAAAAGTATGCAGCTTTTGTTTGAAAAAATAAAAAATGTGCACAAAGACTCAAATACTGGCATCATGCAGCCACACAATGGTAAGTGTAACCAAACCACAACACTAACAAAACAAATATGTGTTTCATGTATAATTAGATCATTCCAACACACTAAAAGCACTGTGCTGCAAGTTAGGCAGGTTTTTGTCCTCTGTAGAGGTAAAGGGACACATCCAACGAAACATTCTGGATGGTTTGACGTTTACAGCATCCAGGATGCTGTATGTCATATGCATTAAATGTGTTGTAACTCTGTTCAGTTGTTCCATTCGGTACCCGTGACATCTATCGCTCTTCTTATTAAAGGGTTCTTTAGGAGTTATTCCTGAACTGATGTGAGGGTGCTGGGACAGAGGATGTCTCATGTGTACAGATTGTAAAGCCCTGTGAGGCTAATTTGTGATTTTGTGCTAAACAAAATAAATGTAATTGAATCCGTTTATTGGTTGTGCAACAAAAAACATGTTACTCTATATACACATATATATATATATGTTTAAATGTAATTTATTTACAATTGAGAATATAACTTTAGCGGTCCTTTAATTAATAAAGTAAGATAATGTTGTGATGCCCAGTCATTGCTGGGTAAAAACACCTCCAGTCAAAAGACCCTCTGTTTTCAACTAAAAAAAGACAAACGTACTATAAATTCACCGAGCCAGTTTAACTTAATTAATACAACATAGTACAACGCGTGATGTGTTTTGTGCATAAACGTTTTAAGTCAACCTGAAAAGGGAAGTCAACTTCTGTCTCGGGCTGCATAAAAAAACGTGTTCAGATTTCACGATAAAGCGCCTGAAGAATAGCGTTAGCAAACATGCTAACGTGATGCTAGCTATATTTAGGTGTCCCATAGCTCTCCTTTACGGGTTTCAGTCCAGATGTAATTATTTTACTCACGTCACTTGGAGACGCTGGTCGTTTTGTTCCATGCCTATCCTCTGTATAACTCATTATTAAAGAAAGATTTAGTAAAAAAATGTCAATGAAAATGGCATGCCACCTAGCAAAGGCTAGCTGGATTTGTCAACAACCCTCCGTCTCGCCACTTCCGGTTCTCTCTTCTTCTACGTTTATGTTGCAGTCGGTTGTGCCAGCACTCTGCTGCCACTCACAGGTGGGTTGTGTTACATCACCCTTAAAACAGATAACTGTTTATCAAATTCACTGAAAGACCATTTTTAGAAAACTAGTTAGCAACAGTGCCACGAACAGAATAATGTCATATGTATCATATTATTATATGATTTTCTTTTTTGTATTATACTGAACTAGAGGAGAGGTTTTTCAAACTGCTAGAGAAGTCCTCAGAAGTTATACTGTATCTCTGCTCAGAAGTAGCCTATGGAATGAAACAGCGGTCCTACTTCAAACTCTAACAAACCACAAACAATAATTTGTATTTATTTATATGCTATACGTAATTACATATCCTTGTGTCGTTCAGCAAATATTTGGCTAAACGGCTATATTTAATCAAATAGTTGACTGGCTCAATTCAATTCTTGATTTGGCTAATGTTAGAATGTCCTTGTAAATGTCAAGAGCCTTTCTTAAAAAGGGACTGAATGGAATTTAATCACCAGTGTGATTTAAAACACAATGACCATCTCTGAAGATGTTTTTTAATGAAATAAAAATGTGTTTTCTCAACGGCTATATTTAGCCTGGTCTTAGAGAAATGCTAATTCTTGCAACGAAATAGCTCGAATTCATTAATTAAGGCTTGTTCGGAGGATGTTTAGAAACAAATGTTTCATTTGATAAAAATGGAGTAGTAGAGCAAGGCAAGGCAAGGTTATTTATCTAGCCTGGCACATTGCATACACAGAGGCCGCTCAAGGTGCGTTACATGGTGACGTCTTTAAAAAAGACGCAGATATATAAGATAAAGAAATAAAATAGAAAAAAATGATGATTAAAGGGACGTAGATAAAATGGCAAAATAAAAGCGCAATTTCAGTGCAAATAAAACACTTTAATTTAAAAAGCAGTCACATAAAAGTCAATACACAGTTGGTGCAAATCTGAGATCTTATTTCAGTTTTAAACATGCTGTTCTCATTCAGTTACATCACAAAGCTGTCACTTTTTAGTTTTACAGTGTAAAATGAGCTCTCTATTGCAAGGCCTGCATTAAAACCGCCAAAAGGTGGCGTAAGAGTAAGTGTCATAAAGAAGCGCTCGCTCCTCTGACAGGACGCTAAAACTCAATTTCTGCAACACACAATCATCGAGATATAAAAAGAGAAGTTTTGGGTACTTTTAGTCCCGTTTATTAAAATAAACACGTCTTGTAAAATGAATCAAGGTGAGCAGATACCGTACTTTATTATTTTCAATAAACTGGATTTGTTTTCTTGAGCAAAATGAAGAATAATCAAACTTTGAAGACTTTGCAATTTATCGGTGATGCGTCAGAAAAGAGGAGATCCATTTTGGATCACAGACTAATTTTATTCCCAATCAGACTGTAACAATGTGTGTGTGTGTGTGTGTGTGTGTGTGTGTGTGTGTGTGTGTTTTAATGAGAAACGACCAGTGGTGAGACATCCTCTACTTACATCATGCAAAATACGACCACAGAGAAAACTTTGTGGTTTTAAATGCATTTGCTTAAACTGTTTAAAAAATGAACATAAACAAACATAAGGTCTTAGTGTGTGTTTCAATGCGGGGCGATTTCTGACAAATAGAACATGTTTATAAGGAGAAAAAAGTGTGGCCACAGTTAAATAAAAAGCAATAAAAGCAATAGGACAAATTTATCCAAATTGTATTAAAAGTCGTCGCAAAGAGCAGGTGACCATGCGAGCGCGCCCACACATACACACGCGCACGCATACAGGCAACGAAAAAGGGGACAGCGGAAAAGTTAGAATGAGGAATAGGGGAGAAAAGGAAAATGTAAACTGTGTATGTTCTAATGAACAACACGCATTTAGAAAGTGAGACAGAGACACACAGAGACAGAGAGAGAGAGAGAGAGAGAGAGAGAGAGAGAGAGAGAGAGAGA